GTTAAATGAAAAATGAAGTGCTAGGTGAGTACGCATGAGATGCTACCAGTGTAGTGGGTCTTAAGCTCGTTTCTCTTTGCTCTCTAGCACCCATTTCAGAAGACAACCAGGCTTTCGAAAGGAAGGTTGGCCTCTGGAAACAAGCTTTCCTAAACTGGATACCTCAGTACTGTCCATCTGTGCCTCCACACCAGCAGCCAGTTTCGAGAATGTAACTCTTACATGCAATTGGCTTCTGACTTTAATCTCTTGATGCTGGTCATTTAAGTGTATAGATAGCTTTGGTATTCAACATTCTCTTAGTCTGTTTGGACTGCTACAATAGAATGCCATAGACTGGGTGGCTTTAAAAACAAAAACCAGATATTTATTTATCACAATTTTAGGGAACATAAACATTCAGTCCATTGCAAACATTTACTTGCCAGTCATAAAAAATACGGAAACTGACTGCCCTGGCTGGTGTTGCTCCATTTGTTTGGCGTCATCCTGTGCACCGAAGGCTGCCAGTTCAATTCCTGATCAGGGACATGCCCGAGTAGCAGCTTAATCCCTGGCAGGAGGCATTCAGGAGGCAGCTGATTAATGTTTTGCTCTCATATCAATCTTTCTCACTCTTCCTCTTTTTTTCTCCAGAAATCAATAAAAATATTTTTAAAAACACAGAAAACCCACTTCCAAGCAATGTAGTTCACCCTAGAATTTTGAAGGTTAAAATTAGAAATTTTCATGATGACTAGGAATTATTGGTCATGTAGGAGAATTCGTTCATTTATTATTCAGCCAACAAATATCTATTGAATATTTTCCTATATTCTAGTTATTGTTGTATATTCAGGAGATAGAACAGTGGGAGAGAGGAGATACACACACACACACACACACACACACACACACACACACACTCATATAGTCTTGAGTCCTAAGGAGTTTCCATGGAGGTAGTAATGAATTCTCTCTTATGCTGTATCTTTAATCTAGAACCTTGCTATGTGAGGGGCCAACACTGTGGATGTCACTGGGGAAGTTTTTAGAAATGTAGCATCCCAAGCTCCATCCCACATCTCCTAACACAAAATCTGCATTTTATTTTACAAGATCCTCACAGGAGTTGTGTCTGCACTAAAATGTGAGAATCACTGCTTTAGAAAACATAACCTGGGGCAAGAATTAAAGTTCCGATTTTATTTGTGAGTGCAGGCCTAGGTGAGTATGGGTAAGGGAGAAGGGGAAGTCATACAGGAGAAGTGCAAAGCAATAAGATGCAATGCCATCTATAATGTCCAAATGAATCTGGAAAGGACAGGGCAGCTCAGACAGCAAGTGGGTTTTTGAGGCATGCGAGTGTCTTGTCAGACAGGCTGCAAGAAATATTCACACTCATGCCCTGCTCTCTGCTGATTGAGGTTCATACCCCTGGAAGATGGAACTCCTGATCTTCTGGGTCCCAGTGTCCCAGACTGAAAGTGGTGGGTGCAAACCAAGAAAGAGAATAAAAATGGGGGCAGTTAAGGATTTTTGAGAAGACACACAAAGTTCGTATCTCAAGACAATGCATATGGAAAATTCCATTCCCATAAGCTAGTAGCAGTGAATAGAAATGGCATTTGTCAGTCACCAGAAATACAGCATCCCCTCTTCCAGGCAAAGTAATTCACCCTAGACTTTAGAATATTAAATTTTGACATCATCACTAGGAGATACTGCAGCCTTTTTTAACGTTCATTAGTCACTTCCTCACACCCTGAATGATGACCTGCTGTTCCTTTGCGAGCACTCAAGGTTTGCACCTCTGTATTATTTTATCAGCTCCTCCATATTCCTAGTTTTCTAGCTCATATTCCCCACATTTGTTATCTGTGGTGCATTTAATATTTAGGCCCATCCCTACTCACCCAGAGTACTGGCCAACATCACACATCTATCTGCTTATTAAATATGATCGTGCCCACATTCTCATCCTTGCTTGCATACGCCAGAAACAAGGTCCTAGGGAACCAAACAATCTGGTTCAGGGAATCTAGGTAAGCAAATAGTAAGAGATATCAGAGTAGAAGCCACAGATCCCAACGTGAGGCAGACCTAGGACCCAGCAGATACCACTGCACAGGCTCCCAGGTGTGTGCCCTCCTAGAGCGCTTCAGTCTGAGGTCTCCTTCGGGCCATCCAGATTTCACTCTGTCTGGAATCAGTGGAAATTATGAAAATGCAACCAATACCTAAATGTCAAAAGTAGTTATTGCCAGGCGGTAGAAATATCGATTTTCATTCTCATTTTTATCATTTCCTGTGCTTTTCAAAATGTCTATGATTAAGCTGTACTGCTTTTACAATCAGAAAGAAGCACTTCAATTATTTTTATGAAATAATATGTTTTTCTGAGAACACTCTTTTAAGAACAGAAAAATGAAAACCAGGAATAACACGCAGCCATTAAACTTAAATTATCTGCATATTTTATCGATGGTAATCTCCCTGAACTCCCATCTAGAGTTTAGAAAACTGTAGATTTCCACAGCTCCTAAAGCATAAAGGAGACTTTTTTTTCCCCACTCAGAGCCAAAGAGAAGAAATATTCTGAGAATCAGAAAGTAGAAATTGTACTTTCTGAAAGCAATATTGTACTGCCAAATGTCTAATGAGGCATTTCAATAACATCTGTGACTCCCCATGTGCTGCTGAAACAGACACCCCACTGACCAGCCCTTCAGAAATGGCAGGGCCTTAAAAATATGGGGTTGTTGGTCAGCCCTCAACTCTAGACACCTTTTAAGGAGGAGCTCAGGCCTTGTATTACAGGGTACTCTTAACCTTTTCTTCCTTCTGAACAAGGCGAGTCCTTTTCAAATTCTACTTTCAACCCCTATGCTGCACAACTAGCTGAAATACGATTTACTCTAGTTGATGGTTTGATCAACTCTGACCAGCAAGCACAGCAGAGCTAATTTTGTATAAATGTGAATAGATATGTTTAGTTTATATCTACAAAGGTGTTGACTTCTAGCTACTACTTATACTTGTAATGCTATTCCAAAAAAATAATAATTTCTACTCAGCTTTCCAAAGTAATGGATCCATGTTTTCCAAATGTGATTTACAAATCAATTCAGAGTCATTGATACTGAAAAGCCCTCCTCACCTAGATATGTTCTTGTCAAAATAAGATTTCATAGGTCTTGGTCCAAAATCTGGGTGGAGAGGAAGGAAAGTTGACTTTCTCGTGGTGTTTGCTCCCCTGATTTCCTGGGATACTGAGGCTGCAAACCACTGATACCATTGATGTCTGCTGGGTAGGACCACATCATTCACCTGAGAATACTAAACTGAAGGACATGAAGTAGCAGTTAGTCCCTGTAATATTAAGCTTATTTGATAATGTATAAAATAAATTCAACTCAAAGATAAAGATTCCTGACCACTCACTTTTCACATTGAGTCAAATCACACAATAGATTCATTTAGGTGCCTGCCAATGCACACATCCCTAAACAGTTGTACAGTATATGATCATTGCTTTGGTGACCCAGCATAAATGACTGCTTTTAAGTCCTACCTCCATGGCTGACTACCCACAAATATAGTTCAAGTCCAAAATCACCTCCTAGTCTCTTCCATTAAAAAAAACACACAGTAATTATTATAATGATTATTCTGATGAAATTTTCAGTTGTTTCATGTTTACAAATTACTCTTTAGTTGGTAGATAACTTGGATGGCTTATAAACAAGAGTATATGGCATAGATGAAATAGCATAGGGAGCAGAGTGTCTTAATGTCCTATTTTTTTAATCAGAAAGTAAGCATCACAAGAAGGAAAATCATAAACTATTTCTAGTCAGCCTAAAAATGGTAGGCAAAGTGGAATATGGTAAAATTTTTAAAATTCTATATTTAAAAGATGTTTACTAACATTGAATATGTTCAAATACATTACCATATGCATTTTTAAAAATCATACTTTATATTTGAAACATGTTTTAACGTGTTTCCAGGAGGTATTTAAAAGCCTTCAGATGGGGGAATGGCTTTGCTATATTAATGATATTAGATACTGTTTCAACAGATGTAGAGCCTGAAACATAATAACATCATGAATACTTCTTAAAATATGCATAGTGGAAAACAAATCACTTCATGATTATGTACCTTGTATGAGAAGAAAATACTATTCCCTTGTGCTACTGAATATAAAATGTTGTTGGCTTAAGTGAGAAGGTATGTGTAGTCACAGTAACATTTTACAATTTTAAATGTTGTAGTATTCTTTGGAAGCATAGTTTAAAATATCCCCCTCCTCCTCCTCCCCCCGCCAAGAAGCCATTTTGACAAGGATATTTGTAAGTAGGCAAGAAAGTTTCCTTAAAAACAGTCTTTCTGTTTCACTTTGCAAAAAATTAAAATCTGTACAGAATAAACCCTATAATATAGTTATGAATGTTTACAATATGCAAAAATATTTACTTTCAAAAAACCTTTTCAGATATTAAGACCTACTGGTATATTATTTGCATTTGATTTATATGATGAATAAAATTCAATAAAAATTATAAATGTAGATATTTTTAAATTGTAGGAAGGGTTGGTGGGAGTTCTAGGATCCAACTACAGTTATTTCTCGTCAATTAACTCATAAGTTCTAGCTAGATAATAGGACAACTGTTTTATTGGAATAGAATTATTATTATTATTATTATTTTTAGTTCCACCACTTCTTGATATAGCTGTGTTTTCCTAATCACCATTAACCCTTTCTTGGAAATTCACTTTACTTTTTTTTTTTTTTCCTGCAAAAAGCTTTATTGTTTCATTTGGTCCAACGCATGGGAGAGGGCTTCCGGGTGATTAAAAGAATGACTGGTAGTTTCAGGGAGAGGCTCAGGCAAAACCCAGATGCCAGGGGAGGCAGAGAGACCTTCAGAGGCCTCTGAGCTCCAAAGGCTCCTAGTCATGCTTGAGGGTGAGCCTTTCGAAGAGATACGCTTGCCCAGCTCAGCCTGCGGGCCAACCAGCCTGAGGATGTTACTCAGGTGTGGCTCCTCCTCTTGATGAGTTTCACCTCCTCACCCAGGAAGTGGTTCTCCTGGAAGTCACAGAGATGAGAGTCTGCGCGGGTAGAACCCAGGGCCTGCAGCTCCAAAGGGCCTGGTTAAGGCTCCTCTCCAAGGCCAGGGCGGCCTCCACAGGGTCCTGAGTTTTGCCCCCTCACCTTGGGAAGGCTTCAGCACGTCCTGGAAGAGAATGTGGCCACCACACTTGCTTTGTAACTTTAATAGATGCTCAGCGCCCTCCAGCTTCTTCTCCACCAACTCATGGAAGTGGCCCACGCCCTCAAGAGCCACATCTGGGCTTGTATTTTGACCTGGTCGAAATAGAAGCCAGAGAGAGGTAGGTGTGGAGGCCCGCAGATGCAGGTTGGCCAGGCAATTGGCCACAGCCTCCACCTCGGTGTAATAATTCTGATGAGTTTGGGAGCTCATGGTTGTTCGGTAATAAGGAGTTAAGGTAGAAAAAACAAAACAAACACACAAAAACACGGTGTGTTGGCTGTTGTTTTTTTGTTTGTTTGTTTGTTTGATTATTTGTTTGGGGGGGGGGTATTTTGTGTGGTTTTTTTGGTTTGTCTGTTTTTTGTTAATCCTCACCCAAGAATATGTTTTCCATTGATTAGAGAAAACAGAAGAGAGGGAAGGAGGAACGGAGACAGAGAGAGAAACAGCAATGTGAGAGAGACATATCAGTTGGTTGCTTCCTGCATGTGCTCTGACTAGCACCAGGGATCGAACCTACAACCTAAGTATGTGCCCCTGCACTTTCACTGTGCAGGCTGATGCTCTAACCATTGAGAACACCAGTCAAGGCAAAATGTACACCTTTTTTTTTTTTTTTATAGTCTGCCCTATGCTTGTAGGTTATTTGCTTTTTATGATTTTTTTCCAGCTAGATTTTAAACTTGTTGAACGCAGGGTCTCTATGAACTCCCTTTGGTAACTCCCACATGATAATCCTTAGAGAAGTCTTTTGATATGAGTTTTAAATAAACATGCCTGCAAAATTAATCACACATGTCTATAGGCATGTCATGAAGAGAGACTTGTACTTTTCTTTTGAAAAGTTGAGACTCTAGAAACCCTATTTTAAAAGGTGCAAGCTTGCCTGGCCAGCATGGCTCAGTGGTTTAGCAAACCAGGAGGTCACGGTTCAATTCCCACCCAGGTTGCTTGATCCCCAGTGTAGGGTGTGCAGGAAGCAACTGATCAACGATCCTCAGTAATCATTGATATTTCTCTATCTCTCTCTCCCTTCTTCTTGAAATCAATTAAAATATATTTGGGGGAGGGGGATCAAGCTTTCCTGATCTAAACTTATACTCTGAATCAGATCCCAACATAATCAGATTGTTATTTTGGGGTGCCATGGAAAGCTGTACTAACACCGGCCTATATTGAGTGTGTCACACCAGTACTTTGCTCTGAGTACTCTGTCTCATTTAATACCCAATGCTGCCTTATAAAGGTGGCCAGTACTATCATCACTGAGTAGGTGAAGAAAGGGCAGCTTACATAGACTAATGTGTCTAAGGCCGTACAGATGAAAAGGGCAGAGTTGGATTTGAATCCACATTGTCCCACACCAGCACCAATGCTCATTTCTTCTTTTCTGTCCTGACAATACTGTTAGCTAAAGCCCAACCAATTTTCTAGCAATTCAGATCCACGAGTTAAAAAATAAATAGTAAGAATCACATTGTTTAATCTCACATTGGGTTTAAGATACCTGTGAAATCATGATCTTTAGAGATAGTTAAGAAAAATGGTAGCATCTTTGCACATAAAGAATATTTAAAATACTAATCAATGATGGAAACTGTATATTAAAATACACTTCTTTAATGAGTTATTGTTTAAGACATGTCTGTTGGCAACACATGAATTTTCCAAATGTGTAATTTATGCTACAACATTAGAATTTTATTCTCAATTGTAACATTGGAATTATGATAACTTCCATTTAAAAAATATTACTCCAGTTGAAAAATCATTTTGGTTTCTTAGACTCTTACTTATTGGCAATATATAGGATATTTCCCCTTGAAAAATTGCAGGGTAGTTACCATTGAAGAAGGAAGAAAAAGAGAGAGAGAGAAAAACCACCAAGTAATTTATAACTAGATGGGCTAATAGAGAAATGTTGACATATTTTAAAAATTCAATTTCAATTTGGCAGCCTTAGGTAATTTGCTGATAGGATGTATAATTATTGTAACACTTTAGAAAAATAAAAGAAAGCTTGAGTGTTGTATTTTGATTAATGAGACTCTGAACCTATCATTTTTTAGTGTGTTAAAAATAAGTTCATAGAAATAGTCGGATCCCACCTGTACATTTTATTAGTGGATAGTAGCAAGTATTTCATCAAAATCTTCTCAGAGTAATGAAGTCTCAGGAAGTTTAGAGAATAGAAAAACTACTTCTAGAGTGAGTCTAAGCAATATGCCAATGGCCGATAGTCCTGAAAATCCTGATATATCTACTACTGTTATATTCCCTCCTTGTTGTAGAGTCTACTACAAAGAGGCATGTAATTACATTTGACCCTATAAACTTTATATAAATCTCACGTCAGTGTTCGCCAGTAGAGAGTCAAAATTGAGTTATTTTGATCCTGCCCCTGAAATGTCTTTTTTGTTGTTGTTGACTCTTTGGATCTTCTCATAGTAAAAGATGAAGCAGATCATAGTTTTAAGTGGAGAAACAGGCAATTGAAAAGTAAATTGTCCTCATTGCATATTTGGGAGGAAAGATGTTTAAGAACTAAAAATTCTTTTGATCATGAAATGTTAGTATAATAATATCACTGGCTCTGTGAATTCCAAGGAACATTGTAGCTATTGTCCCCCAAGTATATTTATAATGGATATATTGCAATTAATACAGAATCTCAAGTATTGCATGTATGAAATATGTACAACTGTGTCATAAATTCAAATGGAAAATGTGAGTTTGAAAGTGGAGGATCCTTCCAGTCCCTATGGCACAAGGCAAGATTCGTTCTTTTATATCTGGTTCTATTTGTTCATAATGCCAGATCTATAAAAAAAAAAAAATACTCAGCAACACAAAACTGCAGAGTTGTTACCATACTAAAACTTAGAAACTTTATGTACTAGTTACTATTATGTTAAAAATCAGAAAAAGTGTTTATTCCATACATGTTAACCAGTTTCATAAGGCATAAAAATGACAATCCTAAATTATAAGTACAAATTTTATACATGAAATGAGTACTTTATTATTACTTCAGGGTATTTTCAGAATTGCTTAGTGAATATCAAAATCTCTTCTTGCTTCGCCCAGCCCAAACCCCTTATTGCTCTTCCTCAGCATAAAGCTAAGATGTCCTGGCAGCAGTGCCAAACCTAAATGCAATTTCTATATGATGCTAAAGAAATATACCCAGAGATTGTAATGCTTTCAAAGGATTGTAAGAATATGCAGTTTTGTCCTGTATCTTCAAAGACAATGGTTCCAATTGGGATCCCCAAGTGGGTTATATGCTTTCATTCCTCCAAGAATGAAGTGCCCTATGTAGTTATAATGTCACTTTCACCTTGCCCTTTGTTTTCTATCCACATCTATACCAATAAAAACCTAGATGGCCCTCCTGTGTGATGCCATCACAAAGATGGCCACCATAAGATGGCTGCCACAAGATGGCCGTGTGCACAGCAAAGGTGGGGGGCCCAGCGGCCACACCACATGGTGAGGCCTAGGGGATAGCTCTGTGTGGTGTGGAGGAGGCCAGTCCCAACGTCTCCGCCACCTTGCATGAAAGAGGCAGGTCACAGCAGGGGAGGGCAGTTGTGGGCAATCAGTCTGGCAGGGGAGAGCAGTTGGGGGTGATTGGGCCAGCAGGGGAGCAGTTAGGGGGCGATCAGGCTGACAAGCAGAAGCAGTTAGGGGCACTCAGTCAAGCAGGCAAGTGAGCAGTTAGAAGCCAGCAGTCCCAGATTGTGAAAGGGATATCTGACTGCCAGTTTTTCAGACATCCCCCAAAGAGTCCCAGATTGGAGAGGGTACAGGCTGAGCTGAATTTCATGTACCAGGCTACCAGTATAACTATAAAACTTTTAAGAAACTCTTCTGCACTCTACCATTCCCTTCTCTAGTGGGAGTTTAAATGGTGCTATTGTGGGTGTTTTGTTTTTTTTCCCTAAATAAAATGTGAGCCTTTCTATGAGAGTTGGTATAACTCTAGGAACTTTGGCTAGGTGTTCACAATGTTCTTGCTTCTACGGTGAAGGAAGAAAGATAAATGATATAGGATTGGTTCTTGGCTTCAAGTATCTCTCAGTGTAGTAGTCAAGAGTGCTATATAAATAAGCAGTGTCATACAAAATGAAATGTAAGGCAGTCACTTTAGTTTTGTTAAGCAATTCAATGGCTATGCTCCTCTGTAGAACCAACATAAGGAATTACATTATTCTTTCATTATAATGGAGTAGACCTGCATGAAGATTTGAAAGATAAAATATTTGACCCAAAGATATAGAGATGGATACATGATAATTTCCCCAGATTATACATCCAAATAAATATTTTCTCATTCCAAGTGGCCACCTAGGAAGCTATGCAATGCCCCTTTGATTAGAATATTGTTACATTTCCTCTGGTTGACTTGCCTACAGAAGTAATTTATTATATTGTCAAGCTTGTCAGTGTCCAATTTATATTTTTAGTTTTTCAGTCAAAATGCTAAACCCCTTTCTTTAATTGCATATTAAAATAATATTTTAAAGAAATGTCACATTGCTTTTTGTGGTGTCTTTGGTTTCCAAAATGCTGGAATTTGTTTCTTTTTTGAGACCATTATTGGAACGCAGATTTGATCAGTTATTATCTTTGCAGACATTCACTATTGGTGGTTGTCAGCCTGTATAAGGCAGATCCCTGAATCTGGTCTGGGCTGGAAGATTGGCTCAAATGAAGGCTCAGATTCCATTTAGAGTTGTTTCACTTGGGGTTAGTAATGAACCAACAAACAGCACAATAAGTGGAATCAATACAAGTTAGTGGATACATTTCCTGATGCCTCCCTTGTCCCTCAGGGCAGGCATATTTAAAATTGCAGTCCATGTCCCATGAGGAATCCATGAGCAGCCCAGAACTGAATCAGCAGCTTAATCTCACAACCTTGTGTACTGGGGGAAGGGTGCTTATCTGTCACCATAGAAGGTGTTTCTGTTTTTACAAAGTCTTCAAAACCTGTGTTTCACCAGTCTTCAGAATGGCATTTGAATTTACAAGAGACTGCTTTACTCTCCCACATTTATCCTACCAAATTCCTTGGTGAATTTAATCTCTACTGGTATACTTGTTTGTGGTTTTTAAGAAATGCACCTAACCTGATTTTGTCATCCAAAGTATTTATTGTATCCCTACTTTGGGGAAAATATTGTACTAACATGTAATGCCATAATATTTAAATAATGTAGAATCTCCTTTAATGGAGATACTTTAACAGACAAAAGTTTAGAG